TTATAAATAAAAAGAACAAAAAGAAACTATCATCATTTCACCCATTTCAGCATGTTTGCCAAATTTTGCAACTTTTAGAACTGTAAGGTGTCAAAACTTGACTATGACGTACGATTTTGGCAATTCTAAGTTATAATACCTTTCATGCTCTTGGATAAGGTGCAAAAGCAGCAACAACAGGACTTCTCACTACATGCTTGCCCTTAACATCATTCCAGCTTAAATACCCATAATTCACAATAGAATCACTTTGTATTCTGACATCTCCAATTCCAGCATCAACCTCTACGGTCATGCTGAACTTGGCTGTGCTGTATTTTCCATCAAAGGTTATCGTCGGCGGCTCCACAACCACTTTCATGCCCGATGGGGCATTCACCACAGCACGGTAGACCGAGGAACTATTCACTACACTTGTCAACACTCTTTTAAAGGTGTAACTAGTAGTGTTAGTGTTGTTGAGGAGGATCACAAAAGACGGGTAGTTAAGATCAAGACTAGCTTGATCACAACTGAAATTTGATCTCTTGGTGATGATCTTGATCTGTTGGTTTGTGTAGTTCATTCCACACAAGTAATTGATGTAGTCTTGAGCCTCCAAGTCATAAACAAGTCCTGGGTCTATGGCTTTTACAGGATCTACGTGCCCTGACCCATAATCAAGAGGAGTCCCGGCTACTCCGGTGGTCATATCAATGATCGTGCCGTTCACGTTGTCGATCACGTAAGCCGTGGTCATCAATGCTGATCTGATGGCAGCCGGACTCCAATCCCTGTGTACCGCTTTTAGTAGTGCTGATATACCGGCTATGTAGGGACACGCCATGGATGTGCCAGAGAAGCAAATAGTCGTGGTCATCTCCAATCAGCGCAATTCCTCTGTTTGGTGCATATGCCGCTAAAATATTAACTCCAGGAGCCAAGATATCAGGTTTTAGTATCCATGGCGATTTACGATCTGGTTCTCGCGAAAAAAATTTGCCACTATTGGGGCAGGTTTAGTACCCAAAACTGTCAGTTGAAACTTAATACTCACAGTTGTATTCTTCGCTTTGATTAGGTAGTCTTTGATTGAATTTCCAACTTCTTGGATCACTGCCACGTAGGGATTGTTGAAATCACTTGGGTAGAGAAACATGGCGGAGTCGGTACTGAAGATAGCTCCTGCAGCTCCAACTCTGTCTGTTTCAAACGTGTTAAATCCGAATGATTCACTGAAGTCGCAGAACACGTACTTCCCGGCAACATCTTTAGGGTCAAGAGAATAGTCGTCGCAGATTTCTTTGCTCCTATTTCCATGGCCAAAGTATATAGGGACTCTGGAGACTAACAAGTCTAATGGGTAGACAGATTTTTCGCTGACGGTGAGGTCCCCGTAGTCACCAAGTGTCACTTCGGCAGCATAATCGCGATCAATGGTCCCCGCTCCAATGGTAGTGATCCATGGAGCTCCATTGAGGATGGTAAAATCATGAGGACCACGATTTCCGGCTGCGCATACCACAGTGATCCCCTTTTCCATGGCTGTAAAAGCTGCCACTGCAATTGGGTTTTGTTCAAAAGCAGTCTCCTTGAAACCCAACTACAATGACATGATATCGACACCATCAGCTATGGCTTGGTCCATGCCGGCTATAGTGTCAGATGCAGCGGCTTCATATGTGTAGTTGAAGAAAATCACTTTGTACATGGCAAGCCGGGCCTTCGGTGCCATTCCAATCGCAGTTCCCTTGGCATAATTGAAGTAACTGGCGTCCTGCACGGGGCTTCCAGCTGCTGTCGATGATGTATGGGTTCCGTGTCCATCATAATTGTGAAATAAATTGAAAGAGAGTTGAGAGAGTGATATTGACAGAGAATTATCTGTTATTCATTCTGTAATGAGAAACCAATTCGAAGCTCCATAATATAGGAGCTGATTTACAAACATCATTATGATGTGTTGCATTAAAATAAAGAAAAGGAGCCGAAAGAGGAATCGGCCGAAAGCAACAGCCGAAAGGTAAATATTAAAATATACCTATACATATTATATACATACTAACATATTAATATATTATAGTAATATATACAAACTATACTATGAGAGTAATATATTAATATGTATGTTAACAGCCCCCCGCAAACTCAAGGAGGGCAAACATCAACCAGCTGGAGTTTGGAGACAAGGTCAATGAAGCGGCCAGGAGAATGAGCTTTGGTGAAGATATCAGCAGGTTGATCAGTAGAGGAGATTGGATGGAGATGAACAGTACCACGAGTGACGTGTTGACGAATAAAATGACAGTCAATCTCAATGTGCTTGGTGCGATCATGAAAAACATCATTGTGAGCGATTTGAAGAGCACTGTGATTGTCACAAAAGAGGGCAGTAGCGCCAGAGGGAGAAACACCCATGTCAGCAAGAAGCCAACGAAGCCAGAGAAGCTCCTGAGTAGTATCAGCAAGAGCACGATATTCAGCTTCGGTACTGGAGCGAGCAGTAAAAGTTTGTTTCTTGCTACGCCAAGAAATAAGAGAATCACCCAAGAAAAAGCAGAACCCGGTAGTAGAGCGCCGGTCTGTAGGATCCCCAGCCCAATCAGCATCTGAAAAAGCTTGAAGCTGGAGAGAGGAGCGGGCGGAATAATGAAGTCCATGAAACAAGGTACCTTCGAGATAACGAAGGATACGGACTAATGCAGCATAGTGAGAGGTACGAGGAGCTGACATAAACTGGCTGACAATATGAACGGCATAGGCAATATCAGGACGAGTAACAGTGAGATAGACAAGGCTGCCAACCAGCTGACGATATAGGGTAGCATCAGAGAGAAGAGTACCATCAAGAGGTGTAAGACGACTTTGAGGCTCCAGGGGAGTGGAGGCAGTCTTGCAATCCGTAAGACCAGCGCAGGTGAGAAGATCAGAGGTATACTTAGCCTGAGAGAGAGAAAAGACCCCGTGGAATCATGGAAGATTTCAAGACCCAAGAAATAGCTGAGAGGACCAAGATCTTTCATCTCGAAATGATGACTAAGAAACTGTTTAAGGCATAGAATACCATCAAGATCGTCACCGGTGATAATCATATCATCCACATAAAGAAGAAGCAAGGTGGTCCCTTGAGCAGTGTTCCGGATGAAAAGTGCAGTATCATAAGAACTGGAGGTGAAACCACAGTCATGAATAGTAGAGCTGAACTTGGCAAACCAAGCGCGCGAAGCTTGTTTGAGACCATATAAAGCACGCTGAAGTTTGCAGACTTTATGAGGGGGATAAGTAGACCCAGGGAGAGGTTGCATGTAGACCTCCTCAAGAAGAACACCATTAAGGAAAGTATTTTTTACGTCCATTTGATAAAGATCCCAGTGTCGAGTGGTAGCAACCGCAATCAGGCTGCGAACAGAGGTGAGACGAGCAACAGGAGCAAAGGTCTCCTCACAGTCAATACCATATTCTTGGTTGAAGCCTTTGGCAACAAGACGGGCTTTGTAGCGCTCAATAGATCCATCAGAACAAGTTTTGATTTTGTAGACCCATTTGAAGCCAATGGCAGTCTTTCCAGGAGGAAGATCAACAATGTCCCAAGTGTGAGTTTTGTCTAAAGCCTGCAATTCATCAGTCATAGCTTGCTGCCAAAGAGGATTAGAGCGAGCCTCACGATAGGAGGTTGGTTCATAAGTAGAAAAAGCAGTAGAACCAACAATAAAGTCACGAAGACGAGTAGAAGTTTGGGTTACCCGGTGTGGTCGAGTAGAGGCAGGAGGAGCCAGAGGGAGAGACTCACCAGGAGGGGAGGATCCCGAGGGAGCAAGAGCAGGACCATCAGAAGGAGCAAGTGCATGGGACAGACCAGTAGGCAAACAGTCTCAAGAGAGGAGGTGACGGCCGATGAGTCAAAGCTTCATTGGAGATCTCGAGGGAGCGGCGAAGGGCGGTGGTGTAGGTCCAGCAGAGGTAGGCAAGGCAGGCTCGAGAGAGGCTGGTGGAGTGAGCTCATCAGAGAACAGATCCGTGAAAGGGTCAGTAAAAAACAGAGAGGAAGCAGAGTCAAGTTGGAACCGACCAAACTAGAGGAAAACATTTTGTGTTCCCAAAAGACTACATGACGAGAGATACGAAGTCGCTGGGAGAGAGGATCCCAACAACGATACCCCTTGTGTTCAATACCATACCCTAAGAAGTAACAAAGGCGAGAACGTGGTTCAAGTTTGGTACGTTCATGAGGTTGGAGAAGAACAAAACAGGCCGATCCAAAAACCCTAAGGTTGGTGTAAGGGGGACGGGTGCCATGCAGACGCTCATAAGGAGTGTGATTATGAATGACAGGCGTAGGGATACAATTTATAGTGTAAGCAGCAGTGAGAGCTGCCTCTCCCCAAAAATGTTCCGGACAAGAGGAAGACAGAAGGAGAGCTCGAGTAGTGTCAAGGATATGTCGATGTTTCCGTTCAGCACGGCCATTTTGTTGAGACGTACCGGGACAGGAACGATGAGGTTGAGTACCATGACTCTGAAGAAAGGAAAGAAAGTCAAAATCTTTATATTCCATGGCATTGTCGGAGCGAAAAAGCTTAATATTTTTAGAAAATTGTGTTTTAACCATTGCAGCAAAATTGTAATAAAGTTGTTTGAGCTCAGAGCGATTTTTCATAAGAAACAACCATGTAAAATGGGAAAAATCATCTATAAAAACAACAAAATAGCGTGCGCCTCCCATAGTAGGAGTAGGAGAGGGTCTCCAAATATCAGAATGAATGAGATCAAATGGTGCAAGAGAAACAGAGGCACTTTTATTAAATAACAAGGCAGGTTGTTTGGCAAGTTGACAGGACACACAATCTAAAACATCAGAACTTACATGACCTAAATGACCACTGGAAATTAAAGATTTTAAACGACCAACAGAAAGATAGCCTAAACGATAATGCCAAAGCTGAAAAGGAGATAAAAGAGGAGCAGTGGTAGCAGTGGTAGGAGCTGTGATCTGAGAGGAATCGGGAACATGAAGATGGATGAGTTCGTAGAGACGTCCATGCTTACGGCCCATCCCAAGAGTTTGCCCCGTCCGAGGGTCCTGCACCAAACAACCAGAACGGGAAAAGGTAACAGTTAGACCATGCTCACATAATTGACTAATGGAGATAAGATTTAAAGTAAGAGCAGGCATAAGATAGACATGGGATAAAGATAAGTGAGAGGTTGAAACAGAACCAACATGACTTACAGACAGAAGAGACCCATCAGCAGTATGGATAGAAGGAACATGAGGAGTAGAAGAGAGAGGAGTAAAAATAGTAGGGTCAAAGGTCATGTGATTACAACAAGCGGAGTCAAAGTACCAAGAAGAGTTACCTGCGGTGGCAGATAAAGCAGTAGATGGAGGAGTACCGGAATGCTGCCAAAAATGTTGAAACATGGCTTCGACATCAGTTTGAGAGAAGACTGGAGTGGAAGGGTCTATAGGGACAGAGGAAGGTAAATCCTCTGAGGCAGCAGCAGCAGTGCGTTGAGCAGGCATTGGTTTAAACTGAGTCCCAGAACGGTGAGAGTGGCTGCGAGAAAAATTCCCGGTGGAAGGACCATTGCGAGAGGCACGGGCGGGATTGCGGAAGCAATCTTGCTGGAGATGACCAGGGCCAGTCTTGTTGCAAAACCGACAAAGACGAACTGGACAATGAACCAGAAGATGAGTTGACGGAAGATTGCGGTTGTAACAGTAATTGCAGGTATTGGACTTCTGTGGTGAAGGTGGGGAAGGAGAACTTCGAATCTGAGGAGTGGCAAGAACAGAGTCCACAGGGTGCGGATGGAGAGTACCAAATCTGGTTTCCTCTGACAGGAGTTCAGAAATTGCTTGCTCAAGAGTGGGTAAAGGAGTGCGATGAAGGAGAGATGCTCGGACTGGCTCAAATCGGGGAGTGAGAGCCATGAGAAACTGAACCAAGCGCTGTTGGTCACGGTAAGTAGTAAACAAGGCAGCATCCGTAGTACAATCCCATGGAGGTTCAGAAAGAGCGAGCTGATCCCAAACATAATACATTTGGGAGAGGAAATCATTAATGTTCTGAGTTGTTTCTTGGCGCATACGGTGAAGATGACTCAGAAGCTGATATTGGTGAGCAAGGCCAGTAGTCTGATAGCGTTCTTGTAAAAAATCCCAGATGGCTTTGGCAGGAGAGGAAGCAGAGTCAAGTTGGAACCGACCAAACTGGAGGCTGATAGATGTAATGGAAGTATTGCGAAACCAAGTGATGATCTGATAGTTTTTAATATCCCAATCTTCCAATCGGTCGACATATTTGGTGGCGGAGTCTGTGGCAGCGGAATCCGTGGTCTCTTGAACGGGTTTGCGTACATCCCCAGTGATGATGTGCCAAAGTTTCTTTCCTCTGAGAAAGCCAGACATAGCTTGTGCCCATAGGACATAATTAGTCCCGTCAAGAATAACGGAAATAGGGTGATTAGAGGAGTCCAGGCGATCCATGAGAGAAAAATAGCACAATTGAGGTAGAATCTGAAAAATCTGAAGTTACCAGTGAATTCAGATGGTCAAAATTAGTTAGAAAAGGAGTGAACGGACCAAAAATATGACCAGAAAGGCAGAAAATCAAATAGTCAACGGCTGGTCAAACTGCGCGGCGCAGGTTAGCATAGATTGGCGCGGCGCACGTTAGCAGACGAAGACACACGGCGCACGGAAGCAGAAGGGCTGACGTCGGCTGACGTCAGAAATGCGCGGCTCACGTTAGCAGATGAGGCAGTGGCACACAATAGCACCGGTCAGTGTAGGAGGCGCGTAGAGCGCGTCTGAAGCGAGGCAGCGCGTGGGCTAATGTTCTGGTGGCGCGTGGAGGCGCGTGAGACCTCAGATGATGATGAATCTGGTGGCGTTGGCTTCGTCGTGAAGAGACGAAGGTGTTGGTGTTGTCAAATCTGTGTATTGGGTAAGGACGAGGTATGCAGTAATCTGCCAAGAGAAGAAAGTGTGATGCAGAGGCTTAGGAGAAACACCTGTGCTCTAATACCATGTGAAATAAATTGAAAGAGAGTTGAGAGAGTGATATTGACAGAGAATTATCTGTTATTCATTCTGTAATGAGAAACCAATTCGAAGCTCCATAATATAGGAGCTGATTTACAAACATCATTATGATGTGTTGCATTAAAATAAAGAAAAGGAGCCGAAAGAGGAATCGGCCGAAAGCAGCAGCCAAAAGGTAAATATTAAAATATACCTATACATATTATATACATACTAACATATTAATATATTATAGTAATATATACAAACTATACTATGAGAGTAATATATTAATATATATGTTAACAATAATCCCTCGGAGAATCGTAGTCGTCCCTTGTGGAGATGTTCAAGCCTGCTTCCTTCATCCCTTTATTGAATGAGCGTGCTCCAATGAGTTTCCGGTTACAATTAGAAGAGTTGAACTCTACACCAGACTCGCAAATACAGCGCCATCTCTCTGGCACGGGGGGCATTTCATCATCTCTGAAACTCTCACTCTCCGGCCAAATTCCAGTGTCAAGAACGCCGATGATCATATCATCCCCAAAATTGGTTGCGGGCCATAACCCAACGTTTGGTTCCAGGCCGAGAAACTTCGGGGCATGTGTAGTCTGAAGCTTTCCAAAGGTTTCTGGGTACGTGGCAACGTGACCAGGCATTTTCTCCAGCTGATCAAGTTGGGACTGAGACAGCACTGCACTAAAGCCATCCAAGACATGGTTGTAGGTATAGAGATGCGTTGGAAGAACACCATTCGGCGAAGACAGGGACGAGAGAGTTGACATATACCAACTATGATGATCTGGGAAAGGAGAAGGCATAGCTGATTTGTCCACGTGGATGATGTATGTCCTACGATCATCCGCAACAACAGCTGCTGACATGCCAACTAAAAGTAGGAAGAAACAAAGGAGCTTGAAAAAGAAAGAGCAATCCATTGTTGGGGAACACTGAAAACAGACAACTGAAATAGTTTAATCAGTACAATTACAATAAGTTTTATATACTGCTCTAGCAACTAAAGTCGAAGTGATGAAACCAACAAAAAAATACGAGAAAAAGCACTAGTGATTGGAGTTTCCATAATTACCCACCCAAAACTAAACATAGCAGTTTGCACCTCCATCTGTGCAGATCATTTTCGATATCGCACCACAAACCATGTTGAACTACTGCATGATGGTATCAACAGAGTTCTACTATGCTAAGTGAATATATTCAAGATTTTGATTTAAAAAAAACAAAATAACAAAACAAAACTAGAGTAACAAATATATTAATAAGGACAAGATAAGGAACGAAAAGACTTTATCAGATTTCAATGAAGAAATGAAATAAAGAGGTTCCTTTTATAATCATTTAACTAGGGGTGGTAAACGAGCCGAGCCGAGCTGAGCTTTAGTATGTTTGGCTTGTTTATTAAGATTTTAAGGCCTTCGAGCTCAGGCTTGAGAGCTCAATAAGTTCGATCCTAGTTGGCTTAGACTTGACTCGAGCTCGAGCCTGTTCCTGAGCCTTAACGAGTTCAGAAATTTATAAATTTATATTTGCGTATGAGACTAAAGTTATAATTAAAACTTTGATTATACGATTTTATATACAATATATATAAATAATCTAAAAAAAAAGTCAATATTTTACTAAAATAATAATATCTACTACCACTATTATATAAATGTATTATCTATAGTTAACTATTATTTATATTTATATTTTCAAATAGATAAATAACATATTTATCTTATTTTTTTATACATATTTTTACATTATTTAATATATAAATAATAAATATTAAACGAGTTAGCTAACGAGTCGAGCTTATGAGCCGAACTTTAGAATGTTTAAACTTGTTTATTAAAAATTTAACGAGCTCGAACTTGAAGGCAAAAAAAAAATTTAACGAATCGAATTTAAACGAACTGAGCTCAAGCCTATTTACAAACGGATCTGTTCATTTGCAGTGCTATTTAAGACAAAAAGAAAACAAGAGGATGATAAAAGGATGGCACTTCTCATTGGAAGGGGACTGACTCAAAATATACTGAGTGACTTCCTTGGCCCTCTCCCTCTTCTTGAAACTACCGTTCCTTTTGTTTCAACAGAAAACACCTTCTAAGAAAAAAATATTCTGTCCTAAACATTTTGATTAGGGGTGGAACCAGGGATTTTGTTTGGGAGAGGCCAATATATATGCATAAAAAATATTGAGTTAGTTTTGGTACATTTGCAATTGAATATAACTTCTTATATAAGCGTTGTGAAAGAAGTATTTCATGAAAAAATTATATAAATCTAATAAATAGTTTTTTTAAATTTTTACAATTTTTGAACTATTAGATCTAAGTTTATAATCGGTTAAACCACTATTTTAAACTATTTATTGATTAATATAATTTAGTACACAAGAAGTGAAAAATTCTTAAGATCTCTAAAATAGGACCTTTAAACTTGTACTCAATAACATTGAATGTGACATGTTAGTTGATTATTTAGAAGTCAATCAGTTAAGACTCAACTCCAGTTATGCTATTGTGAATAAATTTAGGAGTAAAATTTTTGGTTGTCTAGCATTACTCATAAAAAGGTATGCATACTGTTTTATTTTAAAATTAAAAGAATAAATAATATGTACCTTTTGTATTAATAAAATTAACTCGATAAAATTGATACTATTATTTAAAATAAAAAATTATTACGAATCATTTTCATTATACATTGTTAAATATCAATGAAGTAAAAAGTTAGTAAGATAATTTTTATAAAATTAAAACCTCATCCCATTATATATTTTTATAAATATTCATAAATAAAAAAGTAATAATAAATTGTAAAAAATCAAAAGGGGCCAAGACCCCTTCCGCCCCTACACAGTTTCGCCACTGATTTTGATTCAGAATCTTTATTATCAACTACATCAAACTGCACAAGTTTTTAGTAAGCAACGCACAAGTTTTTAGTAAGCAACGCACAGGTTTCTGTAGTATTGATATCCTAGATAACAAAAATATAAATTAACAATCAAAGACAACGATCCAAGTAAGCAAGAGCAGTTCAATCATTACAACCGTTAAATATGGACCAACCCCATGCAACCATGCCTCCAGATACAGGATCTGGGGCAAAGGTGTTCAAAACCAATTCAATAAACAATTTTAGAATCTTGGTTTATGTAATAAGAACACAAAAAGTTAAAAGGCATGTTAGTTTGCGTGCAGATATGCTTTGGCAGTTGATCTGTTACAGAGTCTTACATGAAACTTTTAAGATTAAACTTCAAAACTGTCAGATGCACAACAAACATAGGTGTTCCTAGCTTTTCCTATCAACTTTTATTGAACTTTGGGGTGAAATATATATATATATATATATATACAGAGAGAGAGAGAGAGGAACAGGGTAGCAACAAGCATACCTCAGCTATAAAGATCCTAATTGTGTACCACTTTGTTCGGAGGATTCAGAAGGCAACAGGTTCCTGCAGATGGCCAAGAGAAGGAACTGTAAGTAAACAAAGTGTTGGAAAATGGCGTTGTATAAATTTATTTTTTTGTTAGCTTTGAGCATTAATTAAGGCAGGCCCTAAGCGTTATTTTTAACATTTCTAATTGGGTTCATGTTTAATGCCACATAGTGAATAATATCGCCTATTTGGTTGCTCAAAACTATTTCCGAATGAATAAGAATTCAACGTGCATTTTCAGGTTTGTGGAAATAGCTTTAAGTGGATTTCCTACACATTTGTGATATGTGCTTGTCTCAAATAGAAAAGGCTTAAGAATTTATATGAGTATATGTCTAGCTTGCCATACTTGGGTTGGGTCCTAAGGGGCACCCTAAGTGTAGGAACCCACATTTTATGTCCTCATCATGTTCATGAGCATCGGTATGATTATGACTTGTTTAGCTTGCAAGTGTATGTTGTGATTTGTTACGCTTGAGCTAACGTGATCCATGTCTTGTTTTGAAGCCTTGTGGTTTGTCTAAGTGTAGTATGCTTGTCTTGTTCCTCCCTCAATGCGAAACTTAGGTTACGCCTTGCTTGAGTTATGCTAGCCGATGTTATTCCAATGCCGAGGTCATCCTTAGTCTAGTATTAGTATCTTGAAACCCCTTGTCGACCTCCGTCCTTGCCTTGACCACATTAGCCGAGATGATACCCTGTACCCAAGCGATCTCGTCCTGGAGTGGTACGACCTAGGCCGAGGTGTGGCGCATCTAGGCCAAGATGTGGCACAGCTTAGTCAAGTGTTGTCCCTCCTAGTCGAGGTCATTGTCACCTTAGTTGCCGAGGTCCTTTTGTTAGCCGATGTCACCCCTTGCCGGAGTGCCATTCCGTGTAGCTTGTTAGATACACCTTGTTGCTAGCCGATGTCATAGCCTGTCAGAGAGCCCATACCGCTTTGCTTGTTGAACACCCTTCCACCATGCTTTGTCTGGCCTGTCAGCCACCTTTTCAGGATGAACCCAACCAGTCGCCGCCACGTGTCTCAGCAGAGGGTTAACCCCAGAACCGGGTATAGAAAACTATCATTTGGTATCATAAACTTGCCTTGTAGAGAGAGAAGCTCTAGGAGGAAGAAAGAGTTTTAGAGTGAGGAAGTAGATCTTTAAATTATATTCAGGGAGCACCAAGATGTATCAGGACGTAAAGCGGACCTTTTGGTGGCCAAACATGAAAAGAGAGAAAGCCGAATTTGTATCTCAGTGTCTGTGTTGTCAGCAAGTGAAGGCAGAACACCAGAGACC